TTCCTGCTAGACTGACTATATTGGGTAACTAGGTTTAGAACTGTGCTTTTGGCTGACAGTTAAAAGTACCAAAAAGCCCCATTGAAGTAAGCAACGTATACAGGCACTGGGAAACCAGGTCGAACTAACACAATTCCTCTTCTGGTAAAGCACTGGTTTGTTTTTTTGGGTGAGGTGGGGAAGGGGGTTCCACATCTAATAGCTGATTCAGTCAGCTATTGGGTAAATGCCAAAAAGCCTTCTGAAATGTGTGATTTTATACAGACATTGGGTGAGCTGAGTCAGACTGATGCAGTGTCTCTTCTGGGCATGTGTTGCACTGGCATGGGGGCATGCCAAGGTTAAAGTGCTGTTTTGTGTGTTTTTTCTGTAAGTACCCTCTGATTTATTTATTTTTTTTCCAAGCACAGTTTTATAGAATGTGCACACCTTCACTAGAAAGGGACCACATCTAGTCTACCCTCTGCTTGAGGCAGGATAATCCTTGACTAAACCATTCCAGCCAAGTGTCTATTTAACCTGATCTTCAGATATATCATGATAATTCAAGTCCCCCATAAGAACTCATTTTTGCAGGATTTTTTTTTGGGAACTTCTACTAGTTTCTTTTAAAGAAGGCCTCATCTACCTTTTCCTCCTGGCTTGGTGGCCTGTAGCAGATGCCCACTCTGACATCCCCTCTGCTGCTCTCCCTTCTAACTTAATTTTTTTTTTTTTTTTTTTTCACCCAGAGGCTTTCAACAGGCCTACCTCCCTCTTCTGTTTTGTACCTCAAAACATGCATACATGTGTGCGCGCACACAATTGTATAATATGGGCTGGCATGGAAGATGCCTGTGTGTGACCTACTTTTTGTTGTGGAGAAGCTGCTGCACATTAGCTTCCACATGGCTCTTGACAGAACTGGACCTTGATCTTGTTTTGCTGCAGCCTTCAGCCACCTTTGCAGCCATTGAGATTCTAACAACATCATCTTCCGCCTGCTTTACTGTTGAGGAATTGTAGAACCTGGGCAGGCTCATAGTGATGGGCTGTAGTTAACATGTCGCAGCACCGTCAAAGTATATATGTGGCTGTTCAGGAGGAAAACCATTGCCATCTGCTGTCCTCACCACATCCTGGCGGTGCTGCTGCTGTTTGGTCTGCAACTGCTTATTCATCAAAGTTACCCCTGTCTTATTTCACAGCTAAATAAAAGGTCATTCCACTATCTGCCATCACTCATTTAGCAAGCCTGTGTGAGAAGACACTTTCCTTCTTTGCCAGGTAGACCCCATCTTTTCCCAGTAGTCCTGACTGGGAAAAGATGGGGTTGTATTTCAAGAAGCCAAAGCCCTGCTGGTGACATCTATCTATGCAGCCACATGTTGATATCCAGGATGCCTCTTCCAGTCAAACACCTTTTCCTAGAACGACAACGAGATTACCACCTGGATCCTGTTTCCCTCACCATTGCACCCAGAGCTATACAGTCCCTTTTATAATCTGCTTGAGGTCACCCCTAGCAATTTCTGTGTGGGCACTAATGATGAGCAGCATGGGAGTCAGGGTCAAATGAGTCTTGTTACAGACTGTCTTGGGTGCAGGCTTCTAGCATGCAGCAGACCTTCAGAGTGAGCAGACAGATCTTTTAGTGCAATGCAAGAAGGATTTTTCATTTGCACCTGCTCTAGCTACAGTGTGTAGAGGCTGCATCAAGAAGAGCAGCCTTCTACCTGGGCTGTAGCAGCTGCGTAGAATGGGAGGTGATTGCACCATTAACAACATATGGCTGGGGCTTTGGCATGCCCTCATTTAAAATGCAGACCAGGTTGGACATTTTGCTGGCTTGCTCAATCCCTTTGCAGGCTGGAGCTGTCCTACAGGCCATAGGTTGCAACACCAGTCCTGCAGCACTGTGCTGAAGTGGTAACCAGAAAAATGAAACACCGTACTTCTACTTTCAACGCCGATAAATGCAAGGCCCTCCCGCTGGGGCTTTGGCATGCCCTCATTTAAAATGCAGACCAGGTTGGACATTTTGCTGGCTTGCTCAATCCCTTTGCAGGCTGGAGCTGTCCTACAGGCCATAGGTTGCAACACCAGTCCTGCAGCACTGTGCTGAAGTGGTAACCAGAAAAATGAAACACCGTACTTCTACTTTCAACGCCGATAAATGCAAGGCCCTCCCCCTTGGGGCGGGGGGGGAAAAACCCGCAGCATCCTTATAGGCTCAGCAGTGCTATGTTGGCTAGCACTATGGAAGAAAGAGACTTAGGGGTCATCATTGACCACCAGATGAACATGAGCCTGCAATGCGATGCGGCGGCTTGTAAAGCGACCAAAACGCTGGCTTGCATCCATAGATGCTTCTCAAGCAAATCCTGGGACGTCATTCTCCTCCTGTACGCGGCCTTAGTGAGGCCGCAGCTGGAGTACTGTGTCCAGTTTTGGGCTCCACAATTCAAAAAGGATGTGGAGAAGCTTGAGAGAGTCCAGAGAAGAGCCACGCGCATGATCAGAGGTCAGGGAAGCAGACCCTACGATGACAGGCTGAGAGCCCTGGGGCTCTTTAGCCTGAAAAAGCGCAGGCTCAGGGGTGATCTGATGGCCACCTACAAGTTTATCAAGGGTGACCACCAGCATCTGGGGGAACGTTTGTTCACCAGAGCACCCCAAGGGATGACGAGGTCGAATGGTCACAAACTACTTCAAGATCGTTTCAGGCTGGACATAAGGAAGAACTTCTTTACTGTCCGAGCCCCCAAGGTCTGGAACAGCCTGCCACCGGAGGTGGTTCAAGCGCCTTCGTTGAACACCTTCAAGATGAAACTGGATGCTTATCTTGCTGGGATCCTATGACCCCAGCTGACTTCCTTTCCTTTGGGCAGGGGACTGGACTTGATCTTCCGAGGTCCCTTCCAGCCCTAATGTCTATGAAATAATAAGACTATTTTTGTACCTAAACTATAGACCTGGTAGAGCCAGGATTCAGTCCCCATCTCCCTCATTCCCTTTAAGTGAAAGAAAAGAATGAAGAGCCCCAGTCATAGTTTCATAATTCATAGTTGTTAGGGTTGGAAGGGACCTATTAGATCATTGAGTCCAACCCCCCCCGCCCTGTGCCCTGGGCAGGAAAGAATGCTGGGGTCAAATGACCCCAGCCAGGTGTTTGTCCCATCTCCTTTTAAACACTTCCAAGGAAGGGGACAGCACCACCTACCTCCCTTGGAAGCCTATTCTATATTTTAGCGACCCTCACCGTAAAGAATTTTTTCCTGATGTCTAATCTAAACTTGCTCTCTTCCAGTTTGTGGCCATTGTTTCTAGTTACCCCAACAGGCACCTGGGTAAACATTGTATCCCCTATTTCTTGTTGTCCCCTCTGATGAATTTGTAAGTGGCCATGAGATCATCTCTCAGCCTCCTCTTGTGAAGGCTGAAGAGGTTCAGGTCTCCCAATTGGTCCACATAGGGTTTTTTCTGTAGGCCTTTAACCAGACAAGTGGCCCTCCTCTGAACCCTCTCCAGGCCACCCACATCCCTTCTGAAGTGCGGTGCCCAAAACTGGATGCAGTAGTCCAGCTGCAGCCTGACCAGTGCTGCATAGAGGGGAAGTATCACCTCCCTAGACCTGTTTGCGATGCCCTACTTATGCAAGAAAGGGTGCAGTTAGCTTTACTTAATACCTCATCACACTGGTGACTCATGTTCATTTTGGAGTCAACTACGACTCCGAGATCCCTTTCCATAGTTGTGCTACTTAAAATGATCCCTCCCAGGCTGTAGGAGTGGTGATTCTTCCTCCCCAGGTGCAACACATGACACTTGTCCTTGTTAAACTGCATCCTATTCTGTTCGGTCCATTTCCCCAGCCTGTCCAAATCAACTTGGATTCTCTCCCTGCCATCTGGTTTGTGTACTTCTCCCCATAGTTTGGTGTCATCAGTAAACTTGGACAGGGTGCTTTCTACTCCCTCATCCAAGTCACTAATGAAGATATTGAATAGTACCGGTCCCAGGACAGAGCCTTGGGGGACTCCGCTGCCCACGTTACTCCAGGTAGAAACCAAGCCATCCACCACCACTCTTTGGGTGCATCCCCTAAGCCAATTTTCTACCCACCGGACTGTGTAATAATCTACATCACAACTGTTTAGTTTATTTATAAGAACTGGGTGTGACACTGTCGAAAGCCGCCTAAGAAATCTAAGTAAATCACATTTATCTCTCTTCCTTCATCCAAGCATTTTGTGACCTGGTCATAAAATGAGACCAAGTTAGTCGGGCAGGATCTGCCTGCTATGAACCCATGCTGATTGCCTCTTGGCATCATTTTATGTGCTGGTCTCCTACAAATGTGATCCATAAGAATTTTCTCAAAGATCTTGCCAAGGATAGAGGTGCGACTAATCAGCCTATAGTTACCCGGTTCCTCCTTCCTCCCCTTCTTGAAAATAGGAGCCACATTGGCCCTTTTCCAATCCTCTGGGACCTGTCCTGAGCACCACAAGTGCTCAAACAGTTGTGCCAGCAGCTCTGCTATGACACTAGCTAATTCCCTGAGTATCCAAGGATGACTATAATCAAGACCTGTTAACTTAATATATTCAACCCCTCCAGGTGCTCCTTTACTATGTCAGCACAAACAGTTAATGGGTTGGTATCTATACTGGGCTTACCTAAGGTTCCAATGGATTGCATATTTGTATTTGTGTCCAAGAATACGGATGCAAAGAAATCATTTGGAAGCGCTGCTTTGGCCATCTTATCTGTTACCAGTTGCCCTAGTTTGTCCTGAAGGGGCCCTAAATTACCCTGCACCTTGTTTTTGCTTCCTTTGTACTTAAAGTCAAGTGACTGTGTATGTGTTGGGTTTTTGTTTTGTCTTTATTTTTAAGTAGCTGCTTCCTACCCAGCTAAGTGTAATATACCTGCATTTTTTTTAAATAGCTCTGTACAAATGCATAATGTTGTACAATGACCAAGTTGAATAAATATGGAATAGTGAACTAAAAATTTAATGGCTGTCTGGTAAAAGGGCAGCATCTTCCCCTTCTTTCCCCCCCATCCCCAACTTAGTTGAAACTCTGACTCAAGTGGACTAAGACCAGCAGTTTGAACCAAGACCAAGTGAATCAACCTTTAAAGTGGCAATAGAAATGAAATAAATAAGCTATTTCTATTTCAATCTAATAGTTCTATGAAGGCTATGGACAGACAGAATGCACAGCTGGATGCTCCCTGACAGTACCTGGAGACTGGACAGCTGGTATGGCATCTCTTGTCTTGAGTGAACTGATTTCTGTTAAATTTTGGACCTGTGAAAGCTACTAATATAGTTTAGCATACCTTAGAGCTGTCCTGGAGTACTCCATTTCTTTCCATTGCACCTGAATAAAAAGTTGAAGAGGTCCCAGTTGGAAACACTATTTTGACTCTGAGACCATGTAAAGGCCCAGTCTTAAAGCTAGATTAAAAAACTTTAGTTAGGAAAGTTAAGTCTGCACTGCTGCTGGGGCTAGGAAGATAGGAGCTGTGCTAGGGCTGCCATGTCTCTTCCCAGCTCTGGGCTCCCTGGTAGGATTTGAGCACAGCTTTCAGGTGGAGAGCTGCACTGTGGCTGGGCACCTGAAAACTGCACCTATTCCACTGCCATCACTTCTCCTTGGCCCCTCAGTTCCTGGTCACAGTGCAGGCATAGCTTCGAGTTGCCCAGCTCCTAGCACCAGCAGAGGCAACATTTTCCAGCTTCATAAGCCAGATCCAGTAGTTCCATGAGTTAGATCCAGCCTGTGGGCTGTATATTGCCAACCCCTGCTTTGGCTATTTCAGCACCAAAGCATTTGACCTTTTTTGTTGTTAAGTTTTGCAATGTTGACACGCAGTAGATGAAAGTGGGGTGGAAAGTTATGTGCTTAGCATGATACTACTAGGCTTATAAATAGAAATTTCCAGAAGCTGCAATTTTACAAGTGAATATGCTGAAGACTCTGGTGTTTAAAATGTACTAGACAAGCTGCTACAGGCTAGAAATATCAGTGTAGTGATGGATCAGGTGCAGGGTTCCATTCATAACTTCAAGCTTCCCAGGTATCCTAAAGATCTTTCTGGACTTCCATATGCTTCAGCATAAAGGGAACTGACTAGCTACTGTAGTTAAGTGTTGTAATGCAGAAAGTTATCCAAAGGATTATCAGTCTCTGGTTATGTCTACAGATTAGAGTGCTGCTAAAATGGCTTGGTAAATGATCTGAACATAAGTACTGTTAACTATTGAATTAATAGGTCATGTTGGGACACCAATGCCTTGCAATATTGTAAAGCTTGTTGATGTAGAAGAAATGAATTACTTTGCTGCCAAAGGAGAAGGTGAGGTGAGTAATACCTAAAAATGTCATTCCAATACAAAACTATCTAAAAATATTTTAGCATTGGTATAGTAAATAAGTAATAGTCCATCTTCTTACAAAAAAAAAAACTCCCTAAAGAGAATAGCATTCTAGCAGGAATCACCAAGTTTCTGTCTCATGTTCAGCCTAGATTAATGATACAAAAGCAAGACACCAGAGTAAACCTACTTTTATACTTTAAACAGGAGGGAGTACTCCAGTTACTCAAGTGGTTGCATTTCTATCTAATATAAATGGGAAGAAATCTGCTAGGTTGACCATGGACCTGGGTCAGTTAGTCTATTCCCTTGCAGTTGTTTGCAGTAATATAACATCTAAAACTGCATTAAGCTCCTTCTTGGAACAAATTGGGAATAGCCAGGGAGAGCAACTTGAAAGACCGTTCTGTGTGTTCTTATTTCTGGTCTAAATTCATGGCTCCTTAGGACTAGTTTTTTTGTTTTTAAGTCAACATTGTCCTTTTGCCTGAAATAATTCTTGACCCCCTAACAGTGATTCTGAACCAGGGTGCCTTAAGATCTTTTCAAGGGTGTCCCAGGGTGCTATGCAATGTTAGCCTATGTACAGACACACTTCACAAGAAACCCAGCAATCCAAATAAGAATCCAGTGTTAAACATTCTGACATGCTGTATGTTTTCTGAGGTCTCTGCAATAGAACTGTTCTGTTTTTCTGCACTCAGAGTGAAAAATTAAGAGCTGGTACTTCCTGAGGAGTGCCTCAAGATTTAAAAAGGTTGAGAACCATGACTTTTTTTAAAACAGACCATGAATAATCTCACTTTTAATCTTTTAGAAAAGTTTTGTGTTATGCCATGTTAAAAACCATTTCCTCTAATTCTAGTAGTCTTTCTTTGTACATGTTTAAGAGGAGCTACTTTAAACATGGCAACTAGAAATGTAGACTGTATTCTGGATGAGTTCTTAACACTGGCAATAATATTTCCAGTGATTTTTTGTTTTGTTTTGTTTTGTTTTGTTTTTTGTTAAGTATTTTGCTTGATATGTCCTGGAACAAACTTGTTCTGTGTGGGGCTGCATAACATGTTAGTTTAATTTACTTTGGGATAGAAAAAAAAATCAAACAGACTTAGTTTTGTAGCAAAGAAAAGGTGAATTCATGCACTTAGACTACTGAATATCATGCTATTTCTGTGACCAGTTCTCCAGGTACTTCTGTACTGATGGTCTTTCCTAGGTTTGTCAACAGATTTCCTTGGTATGCTATTACTATCTGCTAAGGTCATTGACCAAAATTAAGACCAGTCCCTAATTTCTTGGAGGAACTTCTGTCCAGCCTGATAATTCCCCTTTATATACTACTTGCTGTCATTTAAATTGGAAGGTGGGTAAGGTTGATTTTAATTTCTCTCTCTTCCAGATAATTCTCGTGTAATAGCACTTGAGATAATTTCATGAGAATTATTGTTCATCAGTTGTCTACAAATGTTTTCCCTTCTTAAGGATGTTGTATCTTTATCTTGCCTTCCTGTGTCTATCCTTTCCTTCATTCTAAGTTACCCAAATATCTCCTCATTTTTAAACCTAGGTGGTAGCTCTCATCTCCTGGGTTGTTTCTCAGTCATAGGAAAAGAGTGCTGGAAGGGGCCTCTTGAGGCCATCTAATCCAGCTCACCTGCTCAAAACAGAACGATCCCTAGCACCATCTTGGCCAACTGTCTGTCCAAGCTACCCTTAACTTCTCTAGGGATGGAGCTTTTGCGGCTTCCTTAGGTAACTTGTTCCAGTGCTTGACACAATAGTTGGAAAGCTCTTCCTAACCTCCAACCTAAACTTCCTCTGTAGCTTGGGACTATGGCTACTAGTCCTGTCCCTTATCACAGAGAAAATGCTATCTCCATCCTTTCTCTCTCATTGCCCTTCAGGTACCTGAAGATCCTGTTATCAAAACCCCCTTAGTCTTTTCTTTAGAGTGAATAAACCCAAGTTCTCTCGGTCCTTCTTCATAAGTCATACTTCTTATGACTCTTAATACATTTCTGTCATTGGCTGGATGCTTTTCAGTCTGTTTGCAGCCTTTTTGTTTTGGATGCCATTCTTCTAGACACCAGTATTCCAGGTGAGGCCTTGCCAACGCTGGAAGGAATAGGAGAATCACTTTTCTTGATTTTGCAAGTGACTCTCCTTTTTAATACAACCCAGTATGCTGTTGGCTTTTGTTTTTGCAACACGAGCAAACTTAGTTCATTCAGTTTATGGCCTACTGTAGCCTCCCAGGTCTTTCTCTGCGGTGTTGCAGCCTAGCCAGTCATTCCCCAGTCTGTATTTGTGCATAGAATTAATTTTAATTTATTTTTTTGGACCACTTCTCCAGTTCTGTTCTCTAGGTAATTCTGGATCCTAATCCTACCCTCAAGTGTCTGCAACTTCACCCAATTTGGTGTCATCCACAAATTTGCTAAGCATGTTCTCTCTCATCATCCAAATTGTTAATGATGTTGAACAGTAGGGCTGTACGAAACGATTGCATTTTGTTTCGGTTTGGCATTTTGGAGGGACAGTGATTTGCTTTGGTGTTTCGAATCACTGGTTCGTCTCGTTTCAGCTGAAACTTTCAGAATTTCACTGGTGTTTCGGCCGTAGGCTATAGTGGGAAATCGCAGAACTACCTATAACTTTGTCGTTTCTTGCCTGATTCATAGATTTCGTAGACATCAGGGCTGGAAGAGACCTCAGAAGATCGAGTCCAGCCCCCCGCCCAAAGGGCAGGAAGTCAGCTGGGGTCATAGGATCCCAGCAAGATAAGCATCCAGTTTCATCTTGAAGGTGTTCAATGAAGGCGCTTGAACCACCTCCGGTGGCAGGCTGTTCCAGACCTTGGGGGCTCGGACAGTAAAGAAATTCTTCCTTATGTCCAGCCTGAAACAATCTTGAAGTAGTTTGTGACCATTCGACCTCGTCATCCCTTGTGGCGCTCTGGTGAACAAACGTTCCCCCAGATGCTGGTGGTCACCCCTGATAAACTTGTAGGTGGCCATCAGATCACCCCTGAGCCTGCGCTTTTTCAGGCTAAAGAGCCCCAGGGCTCTCAGCCTGTCATCGTAGGGTCTGCTTCCCTGACCTCTGATCATGCGTGTGGCTCTTCTCTGGACTCTCTCAAGCTTCTCCGTATCCTTTTTGAATTGTGGAACCCAAAACTGGACACAGTACTCCAGCTGCGGCCTCACTAAGGCCACGTACAGGGGGAGAATGACGTCCCGGGATTTGCTTGAGAAGCATACATATACAGATACATGCACACACTCACCAGTTCACACACATACAACCCACCTACACATACACACAGGTAAGTTCCTAACTTGGATGGTACAGCGTGTATGTGTGTGCTTGGGGTACCTGGATACTTGGGGGAAGGTTCAGGTGCGAGAGAGAGAGTTAAAGTGTAGGGAGTGAAAATTGCCAGAACCAGGAATAGAGTCGGTGGACTACAGAGAAGCTGGCTGAGGAACTGAGGCTTGGGTTTACTTAAAGTAGGTTGGGGCTGGAAACTAAGGCAGACAGCTGAAATATTGGGGAGGGGGGGCAGATAAGTGGTGGCAAGAAGCAGACAGCCAGGAAAGAAACTGAGGAAGAAACCTGGTTGCTCAGGGGAAAAGGAAAAGGCAACGGGGATAAGACAGTGGCAAAGAAACAGGGGGTTTGGAGGCAGAGAGGAGCTCAGGACAGGTGTTGGAGATGGTAGTAAGCCAGAAGCAGGAGAGGGAGAAATGAGACATAGTTAGAGGGGCGAGGAGCAGAGATTGGAGCAGGGCCAAACCATAGTAAAGCAAAACCCAACTTAGGGGTCCAAATAACAGTTTTATTAAACAGACAACACACTACACAGCCCCATGAAATTATTGGTTCACACACACACAAGCACTCACAATGGCAGCAGGAGAAAGACTCAGTGGAAGGGTTGGAGTCCAGGTAGGGAAGAGAAGCAGAGTCCAACTCCTTGGTTGAAGAGGGGATGGGGGAGTGATAGCTACCTATCCAGGCTGGAAATGGGTCCTTGTCCAGAGGGGGGTTGCCAGCAGGGCCTCTAGGTGGATAGGTGGTGTGGCATGGTGCTGCTCCAGATGGAGAGGACGTCCCAAAGAGTCAGTCTTCACTACCTTTTTTTATGGGGAAGACTACCTCTGATCTCCTATGGGGAGGGCCTGTCCAGGCAATGTCAGTCCTGTCCCAGAGGGCTCCAGATGTTCTTACTGAGCATGTGCAGCCTGGTACAATGGTGGATTGCCTCATCATTTGTTTCTTGAATGCTGAGGGTGGTTGCAAGGGCTGGGTCCTTGGTCCAGGTATTGGTGTTGATGGTTCGGTCATTCAGAGGGAGCTATTTTTAGACCTACTTCCATTGTCTCTCAAACAGCCTCATTCATCCCCATTCATTCAGGAACCAAGTTACATAGGAGAGGTAGGTGTGAGTCATGGGTTACACAACCGGGCATGGGGATAAGATGGAGGCTTGACATTACAAGATAGAAACTTGACATGACTTATGCTAACGTACATTCATAGGCCTAAAACAGTAATCACACAATATAAAAACAGTAAAAAAAAAAATCAATACAAACATAATAATAATCACTCATAAAACAGTGGATATCTATATCAAAATAGCACGGCACTTATTAGCAAAGAGGGGAGAGAAAAATAAAACTTACTACCTAAAATAAAATGTT